TGGCTACAAAATGTTCAGCTTTGCCATCAACGTCGAACCGTCACCGCCAGCGCCACCACCACCACCGTCACCGTCGGCGGACGTCATCGGGCCCGCCTATGCGGACGCCGACTTGTGGCGTGACGCGCTTTGGTACCCAGACGTGCCCCCACCATCCCTCTGCCTGAACCAAGACGCCTTTTTCCCGGCCCGCGCCTACTTCGTCTCCCACTACGGATACAACCCCCTGATTTGGTGCCATTTCGGGGGTCCAGGGGGCAAGTACCTCCCCTACCTCACGCGGACTGTCGTGGCGAGCGGGCGGGACGACACCTATCGCATTGCCTTTGTCTTTGGCGGGGGAGAAAATGTACCCGTCGAGTGTCGGTCGTTGGGGCGGTTGGGGAGGTTGTCGGCGACTGGGCGCCGTGTCGTTGAGTTCCCGGTTGATGGGGCCGGCGGGGAGCGTATTGAGGCGGTTGAGATTGGCCATTGGTTCTGCCAGGACGGGGAGGGGCAGCGCTGGGACGTGGAACATGGGTTGATGGGGTGGTTCAAGGTTTGTTCTGTCCCCGGTTCTTCTGTTCCCTCTCCCCTGCTGCTTCTGCTTCTGCCCGCAATTCAAGTTGGCCGGCGTTCTGTTTGCTCGCTCGCTCACTCGCTCCCGCTACTTTCATCACCATCTAGCTCCACACCAACCGCGGGAGGTCATGCCTCATTTCAAATTCTGATCCCGATTTTAAAGGAGTGACCAGCACTAGAACGGTCTCGGCTGTTCCGGGGACGGCCATTACTGGCTTCTATGCCACCCAGGTACGCATCTTGCTGCCTATCCCTTGTCACACCGGATTATTGCTGGGGGTGTGTTACTAAATCAAGGTTTCCCGTTCCAGTATCCTGATGAAGGATATGGCATGGCTGCTCTTGGGGTCATCACAGAAGCGGTTGAGCCTACCAATGATGATGATAGTGAAAGCGAATGATTCCCCAATGACCAGACCGCGTCATAATACACAATATACGGAAGACGACTAATGTTTCTCCTTGGATGCCCTACATCGATCACATTTTGCATTACCAGAAACTTCTGAGCCCTGGCGTGTAATCAGTGCAGCATGGTAGTTACCTGTGCCTAGTTTGACGTCGGGTGTACGTGTAGCTTTAACAGGAGCCGGAACAGAGGGCTTTGTTGTGTCTTTACCATAGCTTCATCTCCAATGTTAATATGATGGGTAATACCTGAGTTACAAGAGGCTTTTGGAGACAGTTGATTAACTGCCCGGAAGCATGGTGGCTGCATCTGGATTAGCATTCAATGTGACTATCAGTACGGGCGGTAGTCAAATATTGTGCCGTCGTTTCGAGCACCCTGAGCCAACCTTTGTCTTTATTACTTAATGCGCTCTTGACGCCAAGTGCGAAAGATGGATGTGGCGCAAGGTTGAATTTGCCGACTTCAGCTCATTCCGGGCTGGACGACGGCGATAGTCTGTCCAGAGGCATGTACGCAGTGAGACGGCAGTGCATCATATATTTCGTATTGCTATGTTCCCCGTCCATAAATACCGGCCAATGAACCATGTGGGACGCTTGCAGGTGCGTGTCTGTCGTTCTGGTTGGGTTAATTACAAGCACAAGTACATCCGTACAGCCTTTGCATCCAAGTCCTAGGGCCTGATCGGCTCGCCACCGTTCCGTACCGTTACTGCTTAGTGTCCCTTTTCGAACCCCAGTTATGTAGCGAAAAATGCCGCAGTTAGGTAAATGCAAGGCGCCTTTCCCTTCTGGGCACCAGTTTTTAGCGGTACAATGTGAAAAAGCCCTCCAGACCTCCATTTTGCCAAGAACACATGTACCACGCCATCGCGTTCGCTTGATTCCCTGCGACAGGCTTAGCCGGTGCCATAAAAATGACCTTCAACAGGCTTGGCACTGTCGTTCCGCAACGACCGATGTTGGCCGTTGCGGAACGGTAGGCAGGAGCTTAGTGGTCACGGCCCACTTTGTAGGAGGCTCCGCGTGGGGTTCTCAGAGGGAAAAGGATGAAGCTGTAGATGTTGCTATTCTCGCCCTCTCTCTGTATATCGCGATGGTTTCGGACAGTCAACCTCAGCGCCGTGCGCATCTGACGGCAGCGCTGCTTGGTGCCCTCCATGTACTGCAAATCGGGCGGCGGGCGCGGCGGGCACCGAACACAATACATCCTGGCGGCCCAGAGGAAGCAACCAAGCTTGCAGACAATATACTGCACGGATCGCCAACCCAGTTCTATGACCTGTTTCGCATAGATCAGCCGACCTTCTTGAAGCTAGTGGGCTGGCTGCAAGAGCATACTGGTCTCATAGATACCAGATACTTGCCAGCAAGGTTAAAGGTCATGGTGTTGCTATGGATATTCGCACACAACGAAGATCAACGGAGCGCTGCGCATCGCTTCCAAATTAGCCAGAGTACCGTGTCCGACATCATGAAGAGGCTCTTACCAAGACTGGAGTATCTCCACACCCAGTTTGTGGGAGCAAAACCAGAAGACGGGCTCGATCCGCAGATCGAACTGGACCCAAAGCTCAATGCCTTCAACGGCTGCATTGGCGCTCTTGACGGCACGCATATCATAGCGCATGTACCAGCAAAGAAGCAGCTTCGTTGGAGAGACCGCAAAGGTTACATTTCGCAGAATGTATTTGCCGCCGTCAGAACCGATTATTCCTTTGCGTACGTATTGGCTGGCTCAGAGGGCTCAATGCATGACGCGACCCTCTGCGACAACGCGTTCGCAAGGAAGTTTAGTGTCCCTCAAGGTCGATATTATCTGGCCGATGCGGGCTTTGGTATGCGGCAGGGTATCTCCATTCCATTCCCGAAATATATTTGATGGGAAATGCTGCTTCTGATGCGTCTAATGCATTGAAGACGAAAATCAGCTATGTCGCTAGCTACCACTTAACTACTCACTCGCCCACTTCTTAGCTAACTCAGACCGCATCTCCGTCGACATCGCATTCCATACAACAGCCCACATTGGCATCGCCAATCGCTCGATCACTTTGAGTTTACCGCTAGTGGTGATCACACTGTCCGAAGAGGATTGGAAGCTCTGAATCGCTGCGCTTACATCGTCGGCGCCCGCAACCTTGGTGTTCGACTCCGCGAGGCGTTCAATCCCACGCGCCACGGCGATTGCCCCCGAATCCAGTGCGTATCTCCGCTTCGGCCTGCGCCCGTCACTGCTAGAGGCTGGCGTAGGCGTTCTTGGTGATGGGACGATACTGACATCGCCTAGTTCTTGCTCCTCTATGTCGCTATTATCGTCGGGGTCGTCGGGATCGATACTCGAGTCTCTATCAAAGTCGGTACGAGTGCTGGGTTCCTCGGTAAACTCGCCGGTCGCCCGCTCGCGATGGAAAACCTCCGCATATACCTCCCGGTCGCCGGTAGGAGGGTCGTTTTCTTGCCATGGGAGCTGTGGGTCGTCAAAGCCATTGGAGACCCCCTGGAGATTAACGAGCTCCTCGCTAGGAGGTACCAAAACACCAGAAATATCGCCAGACCCATCATCGGCCTGAGAAAGTGTGTTGCTGACCTCCATGACGTCCTTTTTGGCACTGGACTTTGGCTGGCATCGGCGACAGTCTCGGTGAGAGAGGTTTTCGGCCAGGGGCCCCAGGTGCCTCTGATGCCGTAATACATCTGGAAGCGGGATAGTCTAAATTCCACGGGGATCCACAGATACATTGCAGCCTCTGCATGCCAAGCCACTAAAACGCGGGCGACAGATGTATCTTTTAAGCAGTAACGGTACGGAACGGTGGCGAGCTGATCAGGCCCCTAGGCGGCAGTGTTTGGGGGCCTCTCAGCTCTAATTTGAAATACCGTCAGGGGGTAGGACGAAACGTCGATCCCTTTCCGACCTTGCCTGATTTGGTCATTGACTCTTCAACAAGTTTCCGGGCCATTTCTGTTCTTTTGAGCAAGTCCGACAAACTTGGCTCGAGTTAGAAATGTTGTTGTTCCCGACGTAGACAACACTTCGGCTCTCCTCTACCCCTTTTTCTTCTCTCCACCCCCACCACCTCCCGGCTGGCCATGTGCTGCCCAGCTGCCCTCCCGTTGATGCCGAGCCTTCAAGATCCTCCCAAACGTCAAGCTCCGCTCCGGCCGATCTGTCCCAATAAAAAACTGGGCCGGGTTACATCCAAAGCCGGGAAGCGTGCAGGTCTGCGGCATGGCAAAAGCGAGGGGTGACATGGACCCGATCCTACGATGCAACCCTGTAATTGTGAACGCGCGACGGCGAAGGATCCGTCTCTGTCTCGGATCCCATTTCTCACCTCGTCGTGCCTGTCCCGCTTCTCGACGTGCTTTCCCACCGGTTGTCCTTGAGAGCACAACCGGATTGTCAATCCTAACACCCCGCGAACGTATCCCGAACCCTCCCGGAAAAGTTACGATCTTGCGATTCAATGTTCCGATAAGCTCGAGTGATAGTGCCGCCGGTTCACCATGCCTCAGGGGCAGCGAACCTCGACGCTCAAGCTGCTGGCCTTCCTCGGGCTCGGGTGCACCTTGGGCGCCGCGTTTCCAGATGTGCCGGACCCAGATAACTTCCTCCGCAGGGCTTGGGCGGCATCGACCGTCCTCGGCGATTATGTCTACATCGAAGGAGGGGAGATCAACCAAATAGTCGATGGGGAGAGCCGTGGATCGGGATGTGTGTAAGAATTCGCCACCATAAGCAGCTAGCCGGGAACGACGGAACTGACCTTGTGGTGTATATTACCGCAGTGAACTCGACGCTCTCCATCGACATGTCCCAGTCGTGGAAATCTCTAGACGTCACCATCCGAACGATACCGAAACCGGGGCCCGCAAAGACCAATGTAGGACTATGGACGGACACGGCTGCGGGCGCGTTTTACTCGTGGGGCGGGAGATGGCCGGGGGGCAAGAACATCACCAAGAGCGCGCTCTGGAAGTTTACCGCTGACGGCAAGGGGGGCGGCTCGTGGGCGGTCGAGGACCCGGGGAACCCGACGCTCTTCAACGGCATGCACCAGACCGAGTACGGCACCTTTGTCAACACGGACAGCATGGGATTTGTGATCGGCGGGGCGACGCACGCGTGGACCGAGAAGGATCATTCCACCGCGGATCCGATCCCGGGCATGGTGTCGTTCGACATGAAGAGCAAGATCTGGCAAAACGGAACCATCAACTTTAGCCCCTACGGCTCTGGTGTCTTGAACAAGGGGGCGGCAGCGTATTTGCCGTCTATCGGTCCGGACGGTTTAATCATTACGTTTGGAGGGTATGCTCCGCCGGTCGACAGCGACCTGAATAAGTCGGATGGGTCACCCCTGGATCTTCGGAACTTGACCCTCTTCAACCCGGAGACGAAGAAGACGTACTGGCAGACGGCGACTGGGACAGTGCCTCCGACCCCACGAGGCCAATTCTGCACCGTCGTCTTCCCGACGTCTGACGGCGGCTATGATATGTGAGTTGTTCGCGTCCGAGGGCCAATACACAGCAAGCTGACCCACCCCAAGCTTCCTATTCGGCGGCATCAACGGCCGCGACCAGTTCAACTACGGGGACGCCTACATCCTGAGCATGCCGGGATTTGTCTGGACAAAGCTCTCCGACCCTCCTGGGGGCGCACGTGTGGGAGCGGTACGTCTAGTCCACCCCCTTACCACTTTGATGACTCTTTCCAGTGACTAACACTCCCCCCTAGAGCTGTGTCCGCGTGGGAAAGCGGCAGGTTCTAAGCATAGGCGGCGTGAAAGGAGCGGCGTCGGAAGCGGATCCGGCGCCTCAGGGGCTGCTGCTGTTTGACATGTCCACTCTGGAGTGGAAGGACTCGTATGACGCCGACGCTCCCGCCTACGAGCGGAGCAAGACTATACAAGACTTGTACAGCGACAAGTAATGCCCACACTTAACTGGGGGTATCCCGACCGAGTTCCAAGGCCTGCGAGCTGACACCTCACCGCAAAACAGCGCGCTAGACAAGGTCGACTGGTCGTCCGACGAGATCCAGAAACTGTTCGTAGCGGCATCGGCGAGCGCAACAGCCACCAACACCGGTAAGCACCACAACCCCCCTCCCCAACCAAGCAGAGACACTAACACCCCCCTTCAAAGACGCAGCCGGGAACCCCCTACCCACAGGCGCCCCAGGTTCAAGTTCCACCTCGGACCCCAACCCCGACACCAGCTCAAGCTCCACCCCCGTCGGCGCCATCGTCGGCGGCGTAGTAGGCGGCATCGCCGGGCTGGCCGCCATCGCCGTCGCCGCCTGGTTCATCCTCCGCCGCCGCAAACAACAACAACAACAAGCCACCCAACCCCCAACCTCCCAAAACCCAACCCAACCCTCCGAACTCGACCCCAACCCACACCAACACCCCCACCAACACCCCCACCACCACCACGGGCAATACCAGCACGCGAGCGAACTCGACCCCAACTCCCCCTACTCCTACTACACCGCAACCCCCAACATGTCGAATCCGATGGGCGGGTACTACGGGTACAAGGAGAAGGACGGGAGTGAAGGGCCGCCGCCGGTTGAGCTGGGAAACCATGCACGGCCGAGCGAGTTGGGGGTGGGGGCGAATCATTTTGAGTTGGATTCGACGCCGGTGCGGTGAGCCGGGCGTTTTGGGGGGGGTGGTTTGGCCTTTTTTTTTTTTTTTTTTTTGGGGCTTCCTGCTGGGAAGTTGTTTTTGTGTTGTATATCCAATTGTTTTAGGGAGGGGAAGGGAGTGTTGGGGACAAAATAACCGGGGGCCGTTTGGTGTTTTTCTGGATGGGGCGAGGCTGAGGAAATGGGTGGCTGGTTACCTATATGGGGTTGGATACCTTACATTATACGTTCGTGTATACATTATTTGTACATTGTTTATCTGTTTCGTCAACTCTAGTAACAACCATTCCGGGGGTGGGGTCGGATGGGCGACATCCAGGAGCCGGCCATCACAATGCATATCCGTTACATATTTGCCTTGAGTACCTTGCACCGGGACATGCACATCGCGGATAGCTCTGTCCTCACCCAGAAGCAAAACCAGCTGCAAACGACTCTTCGTATTTACCAACACACCAGGGGTATATACCTCGACCATACTTTTCCCGCACCCACAACCCACTCCCCCACTCACCCAATATTAAACTCGCTCGACGCATTCATAACCATGCGCATCTTCTCCCGCATCCGCCTCGCCGCATCCTCATCCACCGCCCCCACCCCATCCCCATCATCATCCGCCGCTCCCCTCCCAAAGCCCACCCTCCCTCCACCACCGCCACCGCCCGAAACCTTAGACTTCCTTTCCGCGGCCGCCTTATTCGCCGCCGTGTGTGTCCGCCGCGCCACACCGCCACCGATGCCGCCCGGCGGTTCCCGTAGCGCAAATGCCTTGGCCAAGTGCCCGAGGTGCAGCTGCAGGATGTCAAAGTAGACGCGCTCTTCGCGTACGTGTGTTGCGTACGCGCGGATGTGCGACCGGAATGCCTGGCGCGCCGCGTCGAGTAGCGGGTTGTCGATTTTCGGTTTATATTGTTTGGACTTGGGTTTGGTGTTGTTGTTGTGGTTGCCCTTGTTGCCTCTGAAGGGGTTGGGGTTGTCGTCTGCGTCGTCGTCGGCGCCGGCGGGGTTGGCGAGCAGCCGCTGCTCGAGATGCAGTTGGAGTGCTTCGGCGCGCGTTGACCAGGTCTGCTTGTCTGTTTCGGAGGTGGTGTGTGTAGAGGGAAGGTTGACGACCGAGGCAAGCCCTTTTTGGAGGATGGATTCGTAGAGCTGCGGGGCGATGGGTGTTGATGAGTTGAGGATGGTGGTGTAGCCCTCTTCGCAGCCGGGGAGGAGGAAGAGCACTGCTTTGCCCGCACGACCGGCACGGGCAGTACGACCAATACGATGGACGTGGTCTGGTACGGCAAATGCTGGGTCGTATTCGATGACGAGGTCGACTGCCGGCACGTCGAGCCCGCGGGACGAGATATCGGTGGTGATGAGAACGGCTGGATCCTTACAGGCCGAGAACGCGTTTAGCGTTGCTGAGCGCACCGGCTGTGCAAGTGAGCCATGGAGCTTGTGCAGCATCACCTTCGGGTTTGCCGGTGATGTTATGTAAGCCGCCCGGGCCACGGTCGTGTCTGTATGGGGGTTGCGGTCTTTTGTTGATGAGGAGTCCGGAGTCGGTGGTTCTACCGCTTTTGTGTCCTTGAGTAGTTGGTAGTGGAAGTCGACGGAATCAGCACATGAGATGAAAATGATTGCCTTCATGACGGACCCTCTCCTTGCGAATGTCGACTTCAATAGAGCAATCAAGGTCACCAGGCGTAGCTTGGCCGGTGTGACTATGCAGGATTGCTTCAGCTGCGAGGGCGCAGCGAATACGGCGTCGGCGTCCCCATCCGACTCAGACTTGGCTGCCATGATGTGGATGGCGTCCTCCAAACTGATCTCGCCCAGCTTCTGCACGTTCATCTTCATGGTTGCTGAGCAAAGAACGGTCACCCGCCTCGAAGGCAGTACGCCATCCAACACGACACCCTCGGCATTCACTTTCTCCAATTTGTCCGCCCTAATCTTGCCCACGATGGTCTTGATGTCGTCTTCGAAGCCCATTTCCATCATGCGATCGCCTTCGTCGAGTACCAGCCATCGCACCGTGCCGACGTTGAGAACCTTGGTGTTGTCGAGGTGATCTGCTAACCGACCAGGCGTGGCAATCAAGATGTTTACTCCCTTCCGTATCCTTGCTTTCTCCGACTTCTTGCTCTCCCCACCGATGACGGTGGTGCAGACCAGCCACGGGGCGCATCGCAACACCTTTTCCAACACGACGGAGATCTGCTTGCACAGTTCGCGTGTGGGTGCCATGATGATGGCAAACAGACCAGAATTCCGATGTACCTTGGTGTCCTTGGGCGTGCCGTCCTCGTTCAGGCTGAGGGACATGATCCGGTGTACGATCGGGAGGAGATATGCCAATGTCTTTCCCGAACCAGTCTCGGCTTGAAGAAAGGCATCACTATCCCCGTTGATCAGCTGCGGCACCGTGTTTTTTTGGATGGCGGTCGGGGCCTTCATCTCGAGCTTCGTCGCCAGGTGCTGGGCCACGCGCCGTGAGACGCCCAGGGAGTGGAAGTTCTCGGCCTCTTCGGACAGCGGTGCGTTGGATGCTTTCGCCGGCTCGGCTTCCTCCTCGGCTGGTGGCTGGTCGAAGTCGGTAACGGCCGATGGGTTCGACGTGAATAGGCTCGACGAGATCTGGCCGGTTTTCATGGCGTGGCTGGGTGCCTTGGGGGCGGCATCGCTCGTCCTCGGTACCTTTGCGTATCTGTGAGACTCCCCATCCTCCGTCCTGGGCCGTTTCCCCAACCTGCCCGCATCATAGCCACCAACGGTTGTCCTGTTCCTTGGCGGGGTCGAGGAGGGACCATCTTCGTGCGATTGTTTGGCGCTCCTCTGTGCCTTGAGTCGATCGCGCCAGCGGCCGCCCTTGAACTTGACTTGGCTCTTCAAGGGGGCATCGCCAATCTCGAAATTGAGGAGCATGCCATCGTCCGCCATGGTTGCCAGTGGTTTGGCTGGACTGGTGGTGTTGGAGTTGAGTCCGGCAGAAAAAAGTTGACCGCCAAGCAGAAACCTCAGACCAGCCCGAGGGGAGTGGGGCCTTCACTTGGCTTTCTTACCGCCTGCCAAATGGGGTTTAGGGGAATTGATTTGCGCCATCCTCGGTTGATGTCCGTCCTTCATTCAGCTAAGTCACTTGGTGACACCTCAAAACGGTGTTTATCAATTCGGGTATTTCTCTTGCTCAAGAGAAGGACATTATTCTCATGTCGCTGGAATGCATTCAATGTCGGATTTCCTATGGACATCTATCCGAAGCGATCCATGGTAATAATTCGTAGGAGTGTCCCACTGAGCCGAAGATGGAAGACAATCCGAGCCGTTTGATGCCCCGCTTGTGCGCTCATCAACGGGATGCTTAAGGCACCACTCGGACTTGCCAAGAAGCCCGCTGCCCGCCCGGCCCGAGCCTCATTCCATCTTATCTCCTCCGTGCAACCACCACCAACACAATCAATTGAGTGCAGTGAGCCTGCTTTCATCAACAGCGGCGGTTCTGACCGTTGCTGAACTTAAAGAATAAAGCCGTTTTCTTGGCCGATTGCGGCGCAATTTACTCGAAGCTCTATAATTAATAAAGTCATTGACGTTGGAACAATGAAATGATGGAACCGGCTCTTGCCCCCAGCAGTCGGGGCCGGAACTTACCTGCCCCGTGGCTCGCGCCTTCGGACCGATGCCGACCCTCTGGTTGCGCGCCCTGGCCGTAAGAAAGCCGCTGACCACGTCGGGACCGAAATCGTTAAAGGATGGGCTGACTTCCCCGGCAAGAGTGGCACAAGCCATTCCTGCCGTGCACTTGGACTTCCCCAAAGCCAAACTCCGGTCGCCAGATTAACCGCTTACGCTCGGGCGCTGGAAACACCCACGAATATTGTGTACTACCAACCTGACGTCTCAACACCCGCGAGTTTCGGGAGTCCGGACCTGCAAACGGGTAGCCACCGATCTCCTCAAATAAATTCTCCTCAAGAGTCGGCAGTCCGATCTTAGGTCTCTCGCAATGCCTCCTCCGGGCACTTTTTTCCGACCCTTTCTACGGCGGGCGACGCAGCGCGCAAACGTCATGGGCACAACTCAAGTCGCAGTCGCCGCCGCCGTGGCTGGCATTGGCGCGTATGCTTGGTACCTGCGCAGCAACAACACCAAATCGGAGAAACCCATCTTCAGCAGCTTCGGCTTCCATAGCCTGCGCCTCGACAGCACCGAGCTGATCAACCACAACACCAAGAAGCTGCGCTTTGCGCTGCCCGACGCCAGCAAACCCAGCGGCCTTGGCCTCACCTCCGCCGTGCTGACCGTGGCATTCCCCAACGGCCGCTGGTTCCCCGTCATCCGGCCGTACACACCGACCAACGACCTCAGTATGTACCCCCTCTTACCCCATCCCATTCCAACCCAACCAACCCCAAACTAACCCCCCCTTCACCCCAGACGAACCCGGCTACATCGAACTCCTCATCAAGCTCTACCCGCACGGCAAACAAAGCACGCACCTACACTCCCTCCAGCCCGGCGACACGCTCACCATGGCGCCCATCAAAGAACTGGCCTGGACTCCCAACCAACACTCCCACGTCGCCCTGATCGCCGGCGGCGCGGGCATCACGCCCATGTACCAGCTGGCGCGGGGCATCCTGCACAACCCCTCCGACCGCACGCGCGTGACGCTGGTGTGGGGGGTGAACAGGGACGAGGACGTGTTCCTGGGGGAGGAGTTCGCGGAGATGGAGAGGAAGTTTCCGGGCCGGTTTAGGGCCGTGTACGTGGTGGCGGAGCCGGAGGTGGGCTCGTCGCATCGGAAGGGGTTCGTCACGAGGGAGGTGCTGGAGGGGGTGGGGTTGGGGGCGCGGGAGGACGGGAATAAGGATGTGAAGGTGTTGGTTTGTGGGCCGCCGGCGATGGAGAAGGCGTTGAAGAGGAAGGGGAGCGGGGTGTTGGCTGAGTTGGGGTATCGGCCGGATCAGGTTTATAGTTTTTAGGGGGGTGGGCTTGTGGGTGGGCTTGGGGGGGTGTTGATGGGAGCTGGCGTTGAGTTTAGCGGCTGAGCAACCTGCATACCTGCCTGCCTGGGGTTGGGCATACGAGTATCGGGCTGTGACCGGAGGAAAGAGTATGGCTGGGCAATAAATGGCTTTTTCCCTCTCTGTAAAATTTTTGATGTCCGCCCTATGGGTTTCAGAACTTGTGACTACAAGGGTAAGAAGCCGGATCCTGTGAACAGTGATGAAACGAGGATTAAGTGTGGTCATTGTGGTGTGGGAAAGGTAAAAGTAGACGGCCAAGGTACCGGCACATCGTGGACAAGAGAAACGATGTGCTCATTATGCAAAGATCGCAAATCGAATTTTCCAAGACGAGGAGCAAAGTGCAAACAAATAGAAGGGTCAGGAAGGGCAGGCAATATTCGAATGCTGACTCCCAAAGAAGATCCGTCCTGCCACCCTGTCTAGGTACCCAAGCCCACAAGCCTCCATCCACCTTCGGCTTCACCGGCCCCGACCACCAATTCATGAGTGTACCGACCATCAGGACCTGTTCCTCGGGCCGTGGACGTTAATCTGTATTCGAAGCAGCCCTCTTCTGCCGTCGGAAAAAGAAGGCCAGCTCTTTCGCCTTCTCAAGCCAGTCCCAGATCCGCGAATACCACGAGCGCTTCGGCTTCTCTGTCCAAGGGTCCTCTGATCTAGCCGCCGGAGGGAGGGTGAGTACTAAAGGGACAGACGGCAGAGTGCTGGTGGTTTTGCGAACCTTGGGCTTCGCGCTGGGTTTGGCGGGTTTCTCCGTCACGGGGGTTGGGTCTGGTGGAGGGAGGGCGAGGAAGGCGGGGGCAGGCGGCAGGGTGCTGGCGGTTCTTCGGCTCTTGGGTTTTGTGGTGAGTTCCGCGGGCTTCTTGTCTGGAATCACCGTGACACGGAGGAAGTGGTCAACGATGGTGAGTTTGATGGCGAGATGACTGTTTCTGAGAAGTTTGGCAGCTTCGGTCTCGTACCAGAGCACCCCGGCTGCCATTTGCCGGAGGATTTGGGGCTTGACCTCTGGCCGTGTACTGTAACGATTCATGATCATGGCTCTCGCGCGCTTGGTCCGTTCGTTGGCGCAGGTTGTTTTGGGAAGGCATCTCAGTGGCGTGCCGAGGTTGGCGTCGTCCATCACGACGCCGTGGTGGTAAACCGAACCCGGATGATAGCGCTTTGTGCCAGCGGGGGCTGGGCTGAGGATATCTGCGACGACGGGGTCTTTGACGACGCCGTCGAACCTCTCCCAGGCTTCTGTGAAGGCCTCCTGCTGCAACATATCCCACTTAGTCGTCACAATGGTGATGTATTGGTAAAACTCGGGACCGCAGAAGCACTTGACCCACTGGGTTGTCGTTAGGTCGTGGGCATACATGCGCTCCTGGGTGCCACCATAGACAAAAATAAGGCCGGCGATGGTGACGAATGGAGCAAGGGCGTCCAAGCAGGTCACAACGTCGAAAAAGTTGTCAAAGTCCTTCCTATCACCGGCTCCGAACCCGGCCGTGTCAACAAACAGGTATTGCTCTCCATCGATGACGGCTGGACAGACTTCGTACTCCTCCGTGCCTAGGACGGGAAATGTTAGCTTCGATAACTTCCATTCCAGCATTTCAGGCTTGCCTATGTCCCGGGCTTGGGGGAACCACGAACCGGATTTATGGCTCTTGCCGATGTTGATGTCCTGGCCGGTAAGCTCTTTGAGCAAACTGGACTTTCCGGTCCCAGTCTGGCCGACGACGAAGATGAGTTTGGTGCCTTTGAGACTACAATCAGGTCAGATTCTGGCTGCCTAGACAAATAGCCCGGCAAGGGGTACTGACTGTTTCTTGATGAACTGAACGACGGGCTTTGAGACTCCGCCTTTTGCCGCGGCCACGAGCGACTTCAGGGTCGAGTACGTTTTTGTTGTCCAGTCTTCAGGGCGTTCTGCATTCGATGAGATATCAATATAGGAACCGTCGCTGTCACTGTCAGGTTCGCTGTCGGTGTCGGTGTCGGTACATGTAGCGACGTCGGTGATATCGGTGTTGCTGCCAGCGTACTCGAGTTTGAAACCGTTGTCGGAGTCCTCTGCGGCCAGGAAAGTGGCATTGCTGCTGCTCGTCGAATGCAAAGGGCTGGTGTTGAAGACGATAGTGGCTTCTTGCCTTGGGATCCTCCCCATCGCGGGAAGGAGTGACTGGAAGCATCATGGTTCTCAACGGTGCTTTATCAAAGGTGGAAGACGGAAGAGAAAGTTATGCGACCCGCAATGGCCTAGAACGGGTTGCGAGGACGAGAGAAGCCAAGAGTTGATGATTGAAGTCAACTTCGGACAAGGCAGAACCCCTCTGCCCCTCCTTTCATGCAGCTGGCTGTAGGCCTCAGAGACCTGGGGGGCTGGACCAAACGAACGATCTCATGCAGCCTTCGACCAATCCCGCAGAGACCTCATTGAGTCCTCACAAAATCTGATTTACCTGGTCCCTTCCAATATGCACCCGGCCGACATTCACAACCTTGCCATGATTGTACGCTCACCGCACTGAGCTAAGGTACCTACCTATCTACCTTACCTAGGTACCTACCTGTCGAGTTACTAAGGAACCAGGCCGACTCGCTGTTGGACCGGTTCCATTTTGTGGGGTTAAGTGCATCTAGGGCGACAACAATCGGAGCTGGTAAGTCGACCCCGCCAACACTTGGCTTAGGCCTAGTCAACAGCACTGCCTCGGTCATCCTCCATCAACCCTCATTGACTCCGTCACAAACCTCGCGGTGCTTTCCTCGCATCTTAGCATGCCTTAGCAAGCTCGGCACAGATCACGGCGATCCCAGATACCGGGGCAGAGTCCAGACGCGTCCTTCATATCAGCCAGCCAGAGCTGCCGTCAGATCAAATTACAGGTCAATTATTCCAATCAACTCAACTAAATTCAACTCAATTCTAAGCAGGGTTCAGACCAACTAAAGCAGATTTCAAACAACAATATCTGCAAATATCTGGATGCCCTCACATCTCGGAAAAAGGATATTCCGCTTCCGGATAATTTGCCAATATTTTTCATCCGAGCCTCCATGCCATGATTGACAGGCCCTGATTGGCGGAAAGGGCAGTCCAAACACAGTCGACGCGTCAAGCCCAGCGCTGACGCGCAAGCACACTGCCGCCGGACTCCCGCCGCAGCTGCCACTATTGCCGCCCATGCCACTTGTTGGAGCCATTCACACCCTATCCAACCCCAGCGATATATTCATTTCATTCTCCTCGATGTCATCCTCGGTTCCGTCAAGCCCCTCATCAGCGCGCGGGCAAACCTCGGCATTCTCCCTGTTTGGACGGCCCCGCCACAACCTCTCGCGCCCTAACATCACCAAGCAGGTCGAGGAGGCCAACCAGAATGCACCGGTGGGCAACTCGACAATTTGTGACGTCCAAAAGATTATTTGGCAGCAGCGCCGTTTCGTTCTCGAGTCACAAATACAGAAGAAGAGCAAAGGACGCCGGAGCTGGATTGGGTCCCAGGGCTTCTTCCTAGCCGAATTGAACCCAGATGAGACCATCAAGGACTATTTCTGGGCATGCCGACTGTGTGATGAGAGAGGAAGAGCTACGTTCTTCAAATCCCAGGCAACATCTTCAGCGATTGACCATCTGAAGAAGTAAGTTATTTCCTAGCATGACTAAGATGCCACTAACCGTCATAGGGAACACAGAGTCACTGGGGACTCTCTTGACGAGATTGAGGAGGCTCAGCCGTCGGTTCTCGATCAACAACGTCGTGCCTCGCTGAAGCGCCCGGCCCCGTATTCTCCTTTCACTAAGTCAAAGATGGCATGTGTTCGCGAGCTCGCCGTCGGATTTCTCATCCATGCCGACCTGCCCTTCACTGTTCTGTCGAATCCCTTCTTGGCAAAGCTCCTTGAAAGCTACAATATGAATCTTGCCAAGGAACAGCCACTGGGAAGGACTACACTAGGTCAGGATCTCGCAGACATTTTCCAAGCGAGTAAGGGCCATGTCGAAAGGGAACTGAATAGTGCCCAGACGTCAATCCATATCAGCTTTGACCTCTGGACCTCTCCAAATCGTCTTTCATTCATTGCGATTTTTGCACATTTTCTTGATCGAGAATATCGTCGGCAGAACCGCTTGATCGGCTTTCGACGCCAGTTGGGCACTCACGCCGGCGAGAACATCGCTAATACCCTCGAGGAAGTCATCAAGGATTGGGGAATCGACTCAAGGTTCGGAGTAGCAGTCTGTGATAATGCTTCGAGTAACGACACTTGTCTGCGGTCTTTACTCCCCCGGTTTATGCCCCAGATGGACGACGAAGGTGTTAAGGCGCGACGGATCCGATGCTTCGGTCACATCTTAAACCTAGTTGCGAAGGCCTTCCTTTTCGGCGATGAGAGCGATGCTTTCGAGATTCAATCTGACTTTTATGATACTCTTGGCCAGTACCAGGAGGGCCTCGAGCATTGGCGGCGCAAAGGACCAATTGGAAAGCTTCACAACATTGTCAAGTTCATCAGAGCCTCGCCACAACGTAGTGAGGCTTTCCGGAACGTCATTCAAGAGTGGGATGAGTCTGAGGACTTCATCTTCTCAGAGGCATCCTCCAGGGAGCTCGAGCTGCGGCAGAACAACGCGACGCGGTGGAATTCAACCTATTTGATGATTCAGCGAGCCTGGGAGAAGCAAGCAGAGATTCGGGCTTACCTGCTGAGCCTCGACCTTGACAATGCCTCGACACAGCTACCTCGGCAGGACCATCTGACAACTGACGATTGGGGGCTTCTCAACGATATTCAACACGTGCTGGAGCCGATCTACAGCCTCACGATGAGAACACAGGGACATGCCCATGGCGGCATCCATGGGCACTTATGGGAGCTCATGACTGGCATGGAATTTGTCCTGGAACACTTCAAAGAGTGGAAAGCCCTCTATGACGACCCTGCTACGGAATTAGCTGCAGAATTGGCTTCTCAGAAGCCCAGCGAGCCTCTTTCACCTGGCTCTGGCCCAGATGCAATCCCTCGGCCGTCGACACCAACCACACCAGCAAGAGATCGCCCTGCACGGCAGTCGAGACTTCCTCAGCATCTTCAGGGCTTCGAGGTCGCAACACCCTTACGGCGGCAGCAGCAGCGAAGGCATCGGCACCCTGCAGCTGCCGCTTCCGCTACTGCTCAGTTCAATGAAGTTGCGCTGCCTGATCATGCTCGCCCAACTTACATGGCGCGGTCAGTTAGCCGTAACTCAAATCTAGCAGCAGACGAGAGGACATACATGAGGGCCTGCATCAACAACGCTTGGGTAAAGCTTAACGAGTATTATACCTCGCTTAGAGATTCCCCTCTTTACGCAGCATCCATCATTCTACACCCTGGCCTCGGCATAAGCTTCCTTGAGGCGAACTGGACTTCACCAACGCAACTAACTTGGCTGATGGATGCAAAACGGCAGCTGAAGGAGTCCCTAGAGGAGTGGTATTCTACCGTTGAGGTTGAAGACAGTCTCAAGGATACTCCTACACCATCGCCGTCGCCGATGATGTCTGCGGAGAAGAAAGATCCAAGCAGATTTACTCAGTGGATAAAGAGCAAACATCCTAGGCCCACACATGCAGGCAATGAGCTTGATAGATACTACAGACTCGAGCCTCAAGAAGTTTCTGACCCTATTCAATGGTGGGTTGATCACAAGGAGGCGTTCCCACGGCTCAGCAGGTTTGCATTGGACATCCTAGCTATACCCGCGATGGCAGATGACTGTGAGAGGGCGTTCAGTACGGCGAAACTAACGATAACATCGCAACGGCATTCCCTGAAGGAGATTATGGTTGAAAGGCTCCAGTTGATGAAGAATTGGACACAGAATGGTTGCATCGAGCTCGGAGGAGTCAGATGTAGGGCGGCGCAACGTCAGGAATAGCTTCATCGGGCAGCCCAGGGATCAGAATTGGTCAGACCAACTCAATCAATTGAATCAAAGCAGATACAACGGCGAAATACTTCAATCAAATCAGATCCGAAGTCTAAAGTTAGTTGATTGATCCGACGGCAGCGCTGCAGCCAGCTTCCTCGGAAAAGTTCAAGCGCCGAGAGCTAGTAGGGCCGGGGATGGAGATTAGGGGGACTAAGGTCGGGAATGGCCCAGGCACCTATATTACCGTACCGAAGAAACTTTGTCAAGTTCAGATTGTTCAGTTCGTTGAGTTCATGTTGCTAACCACATCATCGGGGTGTCCCCTGTTAGATCACCCTTTCACCTAGGTACTGTACATTACATGTTGGTTGTCCTCACTTTCTCCCATTTTCTTATAACTCAACCCTCATACTTTCTTAGAACGCTCGAACAACTCTACGGTCCAGTGATACCATGCTTGGTGACGTGGCAGCGCCCAAGAAAATGCGGCCGAGCGAACGCTGGACATCATTCGATGATTGGGACTACGGCGGAATGAAGCAGCGCCTCGAGGGTTTTATGGCGTCCATCGACAAGGCGGCACTGACGGAGCATGCCTCAGTCGTGCTTGGCGCACCGGCGTCCATGAGTGAACCTTTCTCTGCGGGCCAGTACTGGTGCTGCTTCGAGATTGTTGCGCCCGACGACCGCTTCCTCGTCGCACGAGTTCGGCTACCGAAACATCCCGAAAGCAACAACATGAGTGAGAACGAGGAGTACTTGATCCAATGCGAAGTTGCGACAATGGAATTCCTGCGGGCGAATGTCAAGACAGTCCCCGTGCCCAAACTCTACGCATACGAAGCGCCGGGGTCTGTAAGGGCTATCAAGGCCGGGGCCACCTACATGCTCATTGAAGGGTTCTATGGTAATTCTCTCCAAGATATCGGCCATAGTATTTATAACCTTCCCGTAAGTTCTGCTCCGCCTTCGCCATGGCGATATGCAAAATTCTAATCCCCTAAAGGTCTCGACCCAAGAGCATGTTTTTGTACAATGGGCATCCTTTCAGGCAGAGCTTGCCGCTTTCACCTTTCCGGAGATTGGTTCCATCTCGCATTTTTCCACAGACACTGATCCTATCATTGGCGCAATCGCTACATCTTGAATGGACGGTCTTCTAACCGCCGGCCCTTTCCGTTCCGGGTGGGATTACTTCGTTTCCGTGGCAGAAGGTCTTGTCGACCAGGCAATGCAAAGGAAGCGCTCCGGCACGACGAGTAGCCAGTATTCTACCATTGGCCCTCTCGTCTTTCGGAATATTGTGCGTGACACAGACATTTTTAAGAGCAGCCACGGGCCGTTTCACTTCAACCACATGGATATGGGCATGCAGAACATTCTCATCGACGACGACTTCAATCTCGTCGCCGTGATTGACTGGGAACTTGCGCAGTCGGCGCCTTGGGAAGTCAACCGTTATCTGTGACGAACCTACTTCAGGACCCTGTCCTGTTAGGGTTCAGCTTCGGTTGAAGGTAATCTCTCAAGGGTGCTTAGGTTCGGTGCAGCCAAAAGGTGCACAACAAAGGCTTGTCTCAACAGTAGGCTTCCGAGCTTGTAGCGAACTGTAGTTGTGATTACTAACTGGAGAACTCCCAGAGCTCTCCAGAACGAGTGACTATATACTTCCTAATTCCTGGGTGCTCAGTCTGCTCAGTCACTGAGCACACTGAGCACATTGCTCTCCTTGCTCAGTCGCTGAGCATACTGAGCAGCCGCTGATTGGCTGTACTAACGATTGGTCTGGGGCGTCCTGTGCCCCGCTCTTGTGCATTCAGCATGGTGGTTTGTGACATTATCCCATGCCCATCCCGCTCATCTCCTCGGACAGGGAAACCGCAGATATTCTTTACGACCCCGAACACAGGGCCCATCGCAACACGTCACGGCAGGTCGGGGCGAGATTGTTGTACCGGCAAAAGTTCAACGAGGCGGAGCGAGCACTCGAAAAGAGGGGCAACCCACTGCACGTCTCGATTGCTGACATTCTTGAGGGGAAGGCCTCTAGGATCTACGGCTTGATTGAGAAGATTGGCGTCTTTCATGCTCTGGAGGAGGAGCTCACACACGAATTGGTCCGGCTAGGATATGGGCTCACCGGCCAGAAAGCAGCACGGCATATTTGGATGGTATGGAAAGGGATGGAGGGGTGACAATTGCTGGAGTGAATTGAGGGCACCTAGAACTTTGTTGTAGATAGAAGGGCTTATTTGGTTGGTCCATTGTGGTGGATTCTCGATCATCTCTGAGACTAATAGTCCGGAGGTTGGGATTCTGGCGATGGCAGTGATTGTGTCTTGGAGCTTTGCTCCCGGCCCATTTGTGGTTTCCTATGTCAGGTGATTCGGCGTTTGGTGTCACAAGCTGTAGGCCTCGTTGACGGGAACCGTGCACGATAAACGCATCCTCGGTCCTTGTGTTGGTTGTTTTTCTAATTTTTATCATCTGTTGTGCAAGAACAGTGCTCATTATTCCTGGCAACTCTCCCCTGAGTTACCCAATTTCTAATTTCTATGTTGCCAACAGTCCAACCCAATCGTTCATGGACCAAAACTGAGAGGGACACTGCCTCGCATCGCAATACCAATTGAGATTTCCGATACTTCTAGGAACAAGTCAACAACTCAACCCAAACACTCCCTTGGGGTGATGACCTCCACCGCCTATTGACTTAACAAGCATCTCCAACACCGGGTTGCCAACAGCTATCCGACTGACCATCGCCAACCACGATTGCAAACAACGTAACCGATCGATCAACTCTTATTTCCCAACATCGAACCTGACCCAAACAAACCAAAGCCCACGATGGCCACCGCCCTCCGCGCAACCCGCGCCCTCTTCACCATCCTCCCCCAAACCCACAACAACACGATAAAGCCAACCCCCAAAACCATCCTCGAAGTCGAGCGCAAATTCCGCCGCCTCACCGTGCCCACCCTAACCGGCCTCACCACCACAACAACCCCCAACTCTTTC